GCTCATAAGCTCTCATCTCCTCCTCATACAATGTCTTCCACGTCAACCTCATCATTTCTTATTCAGGTTACTAAAATTGTAAGATCCTAACTTTCTACTGGTCGTCCCTATTTCTTTCGTATGTAAAGAAATCATACGCAAACACTGAATTTATTATAGTTGCACTGTTTTCCTTTAAATTTCAACTGTGAACAACACCATTTTTAAAGTAGTGACCTCTAATATTATACAATCAGTAGTGAAAATGTATTTCCGATCTTTCCTGGTCCTCCCACATCTTGCTAGTTACTAGAAAGATGTTTCGCTTAACGTTCTACGTTAGGAAATTTAGACAGTCTGATATATAGCAGTCTTTGCTTTTTCAGTTTGTCAATTCTTGTATTCTACCCATCCCCCTTTACTGCTCCCCATTAACCTTTCCTGGACTACTTAAGAAAGACTTTGCTTTGCTGAGAAGGGTAGGCACTAAAAGCCGTTAGTAGGGCAAATGGGATATCGTTAAACGAACTGGTTAACACTATTGTGGATAGACATAGAATGTCATGTAAGAAACTAGCGAATACTATATTGTCAGACCCCGAGAATCCTCTCTATACCCAGCTGTCTCCTTGCATTTCATCTGGTAGAACTAGAAGCAACTATAGGAGACTATATGCTAGGACTACCAAATACAAAAACTCCACAATACCATATCTGGCACAGCTGTTATGTGATGAGAAATCCGTTAGGTATGACACGATCAACTTACTGTGGCACTCTAACAAATAGTCCCATTAGTTTTTGTTTTCCTTTCATCGTTACTATTACACTGTTGTTCTCATCTTCTGTCACACATCAACTTTATATTTCATATCCTGTGGTGCATTGTTTGAAATGTAAACGCTACGCTGTTTTCTTATCTTTTATTTTATTCTATTCTTTTTGGTGTTGGTTTTTTATTTATTTATTTTTTTGATTTTAAAAATCTTATAAAATGTATGAGGTAATTAGCTGCAATATATTGTAATGCACGCTGAAAATTCCATACCTGTACCACAAATACTATTTGGAATAAAGCTGTTATTATTATTATTATTTCGGCAACCCCACGAATGTATAAAAGTAGGCTTCTGGTGTTTTCCGACCTTTATGCAAACTTATCTAGAGAGTGAAACCAGTACGTCGCCTTTTTCTAAGTATCAAATGGAACAGACATATGAAACAAAACTGGATGAAACACATTATTACTAATAACTACTGAACTAGTTTAACTCTAATAAAGTATAATTATATTTCAATAGTTTACACACAATGATAAGTTTTGTTATTGGTGATGTTTAAAGCAAAATTGCTGCCCGTGTTCACACCACTGTTGAAATTGTTTTGTTTACACATTTATGAGTTGTACTCCTATATATATAGTTCATAATTTTTTTGGCTCACTCATGTTTTTTTTTGTATTCAGAATTATATTCCAAGTTGTTGATAGCTGTACTGAGTCACCCTTGTTACATGTATCCTGTGTGACTTTAATGAATATCGATTCTGTTATCAGTCTTTCTTTCCATTTGTTCATGTTAGTCTTTAGAATACACACATTGTTTCTGATGTGGTTATGTTCTCTCAGCTAGATGGTTAATTTGCAAAGCTTTCATCACCCTACTGGGTGACATCTTCAGCGCATACTTCAATTTGAAGTGAGCTTTTAAATTTCTCAGAGAACACAACCACATCAAAATCATCCATCTGAGCTACAAATCTTCTCTATCACACATTGTTTCAATCGATATTGTGGTTTTTGTCCCGTGCATGTTTAGCTATTGATGAATTTTCTTCAAGATTCTTGTACGCTTGTGTTCCTGTTGGTTGACCTTTGGTTAGGCGTTTATGTTCATTCACTCTTATTTTGAGTGATCTGGACGTTTGTCCCACATATTTAGTCGGACAGTCAGCACAAGATATTTTGTAAATCAAATTGTTTTTATCCATCATTTTTATGGGATCTTTCAGTTGATTTATTTTGTTTTTGATTAGATTCATCGGTTTAAACGTTGTGTTAATGCCGATATTTTTGAAGTTTCTTTGAATTGCCTCTAATGCACCATTTTTGTATGGTATTGTGACTGTTTTTTTCCATTCTTCCATCTTGGTATTCTCCGGTTTTACAAAACAATTCTAACAGTGGTGTGAACACGGGCAGTAATTTTGCTCGAAATATTACCAATAACAAAACTTATCATTGTGCGTAAATTATTGAAATATAATTATACTTTATTTGATCTAATCCACAATGCTCAAACTTTTTACTGACATTAGTTTAACTCTTTATTGACAGATCTGTGTTCAAATATCTACACAAGTTTAGAGAACGTTCTGGAGAGAGCACCATAATATAATAACCACAGATGGAAGGAATTCTAATGTTTCTTCGTTGTTAAACACCCAATAGGGAGTCTGGGACGTAGGTTTAAAAACTTCCTGCTATCATAGGGTAGAAGCAGGTATTCAAAGTTTTGTACAGGAACTGAGCTAAACAAAAACTAATAGTTCTATCACTAGAACAGAACATTAGAAATGTGTTACAGAAAATGATAGAGCTAAAGACTGACTACACATCTCAGTCCCACGATAAAAACTAGACTAAGGCGCTGTTTCAATCTTTAAAACGTTAATGTCAGTATTTGGATACTCTCATTGGTGCGACCCGGCTTGGAGCTTACCACCTCAGTGTACGCCTACTTAGCCTGTAACATTTGTCAAATTCTCATCATCAGTATTTAGCCTTTCTTCTCTTTCTAGTTTTTCCACTCGTTTGACTGATGCGATTTAGTTTCATACGATCCGAATGATGACTCACTTTTAAATACTTGCTATGAATGCTTCGTTGTGACTAGGTCATTTCTTAAGAGAAATTACAATGATACAACAACCGATGAAATTCATTACCTTTACTTTATGCCAAAAAATAAATTGTATTGTGTGACAATAATGCTATCAATGTAGGATTGGCGAATTACTCCCTACACATCACAAAAGTGGAAAGTGACAGCGGGAAACAGTAAGAATTGAAAACAGGATTAGATAGCAACACCAGTTACCATCTGGAATCTCTTATAGCGAAACCATTATTACTGCATGCACATCTAGCCTATACGTTAGTTAACCAGGCTGTCTAGTCGTCCTACACACATTTCATTGTAGCTGCAGTCATATTTCCAGGACTAACTCTTTCCCAATTACACAATCTGGAGAAGAGATTGTAGTGACCCATTTTATTACCCATCTTTGTAGTATACTTTCATTATGTAATTGGACTTTGATTTGTTTATCACTCTAAATAGTGCGTGTTAACAATTTATACTTTTGTACTCGCTCAACTTTTGAATTGTGATTACTGCGTTCGTACTCCTTCTCAAGCGCCTTTTGATTTACGTTGTGGAAGTTGAATAAACACAACGTTAGGACACAATAATAATCGCGAAGTACTAGGATGTACGTGTACGCTAGTTTAATCAAAAATAGCACCACAACAAGATCATGAGACGTGCGAAAATAGGACTCGTGGTTAGCAATGCGCGGTCGTAAATCTAATTGCTCAGTATTGTGCTATTATGGGAGAATAACCATATCCTATTGTTTCGAAGTGACTACTAAGTGATGCATAACAGGCCATCTGCGACACCAGATCAAGAAAACTAGTGGTCTCTGCTACACTTTGTACGATATGAAGAACAATTCTTTGTAAACAGATGACTAGCTCTTTTATAGATACACAAACCAAGTTCACCTTCCACACGTTTATTACAACACACACTGCCAAACAGAAATGCTCAGTGACAGTGTGGTGAGAGCTGGCTGTTAGCCAAACCAGTAGACATTCATTTTCGTCAATGTTCACGTCCCAAATATTGGTCATGAGAAAAATAAGAACAAAGACTTTGCGTAGGCAGATACAGTTAGCATATAGATGATCTGACATTCAAGAAACAGCCACAAAGAGATGATAGATTAACTTTCAGTGAGGAACAACCAATCAGAAGACTGTGTTTTCTGCTAACAATAATCTATAATAATGTACATAAAAGTCTATAAATATGTGTTGATTTCCTTAATAAACTACCTGTTGCCTGGCCCTTGTCTTCTGTTGTTACAACGGTAGTTATTTTTCTTGATATCACTATTGCCATCTGTTCCTTTGGACAACATTGCTGTCAACGCTGTTAGAGGGTGGCTGCAAAGCTTATGATTTCAAAATCACCTCATGTATGATGTGATATAATCACTTGTTACAAGTGTCATCAGCTATAACTAACCTGACCTTCAAAAGCGAACTACTGGAAGTACTTCACCGGTTATTGTGTGATTGAAAAATATTTGAACTGCACATTTAAGACACACGAGCAGACTACGGCAGTTTAAGTACCCTCTAACCCGATCAGAACGGCAATTCGACAGTTGAAGGAGAGTATTGTAAGATTCATCGACTGCTGACTGGATCGCTAACGCAAAACTTTGTACAAAGGTGAGGCGATTCAGGTTTTCGAGCCTAGAAAAAACCACAAAGAATGCAGAAGCCTAAGTCGCGCCAGAGATTATGTAGTTTCGTTCATTACTGCGTTCCCATAATTATTTGCATGCCCTAATGACGCTGCCACTGAGTGATTTTAAGGTCCCATGACCGTTGTTCGGCCAAATTAAAGACCTCTTTACAATAGTTTTGACATGCGAAGAATACTTTCCCATAGGCTTCCACACTACTTATCGATGGACAGTTTTCAGACTTCGGGATAAACAGTCAGGTACCGTAGATACTTGTCCTGGACTAACATCTAAAGGCGCGATATGGATCATGATGACTTTCCTTTTCGTAATATGACGAAACAGTGGACACTTTATGTTCGCTCCCCTACCCTGATTAACGTTTCTTTTCTTTCTATGTAATTCCGTAGTTCATCTTATGATACTTAAGTAATACTGCATGCACATATAATATCACATCATTATTTGAAGAAAGAAAAGAATTTTACAAATGTATGCAGATTTTACTTAGTGATATTTTATTAGAAAAATGAATATAGTGACAGAATCTTGTCGATACTGCGTATTACACAAGTGGGAAATGTCAGTTAACAATGTATTCACTTGCAACTTAAAGAAGTTTGCCACATTTACTTTGGTGGGGCATCTCCGCCACCAAACGTAGCCGACCAACCTTGAAGGGGCCACTTGATGTATCTGTCCGACTCCATATAGGCTTTAATCTTGGGCAAATTCTAAGTAAAAATAAGGAAACCAGTGAAAACTTATTAAAACACATGTATAGTAAGAGCAAATTGAACGGAACACACTCCTTCCCAGTTAGTTCATCATCAACGGTCCTACGCTAATACATAGTTTCACATTAAAATCAATCATAGTAGCCGTCCACACAATACGTGTTGAGTCTTACAAACGTTTTCCCTGGCACTTCCTATTGTTATTTAATTTTGTTGTTACTAATATCCTAGCTAATCCAACTAACTTCTTTGTATCCTGGTAATCTTATGCACTCATTCACTTATTCTTCTAAGTAACCAGTACTTTACAAGTCACTGACCACACAATAATTTGCTGCTAACTCATACAAATTTTAACCCAATTTATACTCCAAGATTGACATTTTATACTGGTTAACATCACCATATGATTGGTATAATTTTAACTTAAAGCCATATACTGGTGTGCAGCGGCTGCTGAGGAACTAACTGAAGAGGAATCTGTTTCGTTGCTCAACTTGTTGTACGCATTCTAAACATGGAAATTTTCAAACTGATGGAACACTTGCATCAAAAACTTACCTCAATACGTTTTTTAAACTCCACTAGCCTTGGGAACTTATCCAGGCAACTCTTATCCATGTATAAAACCACATCAAGAGCATCATACAACATAAAGTCAGGATGAGTTATCTGCAAAAAATAGACACGTTCACAAGGCGGATTTAGGAAGATATATGAATGCAGACATATATAAATATTTATGATATATACCTCCTACAGGTTTAGAAAAATCTAATAATAAGCTAAATCAGGACAATGTACGCATAACCACTCCAAGATTCTAAACCAACAACAAGAAAGGTGAGTTATTCAAAAAGAACGTGGGAGAATAAAATGATAACAAGAACATCAGAAGATAAGTGAGATCCAGAACTTACAGAACCTCCGTTTAGATAATTTCTATTCAACAAACGGTCGTCAAACATCTTCAGCATTCCTGGAAGTCTGTTAAGAAAGTCGACTTTGAGAGTTTCCTTGAAGTAAACTACATTAAAATTCAACTTACATATTCTTTGTTGTAGGCGATTCTCGAAACACCACTCCTAATATCCATTACGGCTCCTTCAAACATCGATATTTGCGCACGTTCTTCCGGAGAACTACCCACTGAGAAAATGTAAGAACATTATGAACTTACACATATTGTGCTTGTCAGCTACATAGCGTATGATAGCTAGAGATTGAGTCAGTTTGACATCACCGTCGATATAATATGGAAGCTGCAACAAAAAGGTTGTTAAGAAAGTAGTTCACAGCTTACATTAGGAAATTCCAGACCCAAGCTAAACTTTTCTTTCTGCCATTTTTCTCCGTCATCGCGACCATATAAACGTTCTTCGTATTCATCGCCAAGATATTCCAAAAGAAGCCGGATTGATTGCACAAGCTTAACGACAAATGAAACGTGATTTAATGGTTTTACATGCAAGAATGGAAATTAAAGTTGAGGTCCAGTTAATAAGTCAACTGTTTGGAGAGAAACAGTCGTTGTTTACTAGGGCTAGTCACAAGATGGCACGTGCAGTTGGTCAATGGTAAAATCTGTGGAGTAAGCAGTGTGACCAGTAATCAGCTATCGGTCGACCTGCTTTCTTTAGTGAGAATTCTGACTGACAATACCCTAGAGGATGCAGTAATGTGCTAACTGTATTTGTGAATATATTTTATGCCTAGATTACTATCAATCCGTGTAACCACTCAACTGCGTTACGATTAGTACGCTGGTCTACTTTGGTACGCAAACCACTCCCACAAGTAGAGACAATTTGACTAGGGTTCTGAACAGTACACTCATATCTTGAAGAACACTCACGTCTTCTCAATGCTGAGTGACGGTCCCACAATGGTCAAATTATCTTCCTATGGTATAAGCAGTATAGTCATACTACATTTAAATTCACTAAACCAAACTATGAATTGACAGTCAGTATCAAGCCTAGTTACTGAAAAAACTTGGTACATCCAATAGATAGGTGTGTGTAAGCAAAAAACAGAAAATTTACTAGAAAAGGATTAACATAGGCTCCAAGCCTCCTATCCTCGACCAATAAATCCGAATCTGATCCGTCCCTACTAAGTGATGGTCATCAAAATATCCAGCCAGAAATTAAGTACAAATGAATTTAGACTGACAGATCACTAATCTGCACTGTCGAAGACTTTAGATCACAAAAACTTATCATACTTCGCAAACTTCATCTGGCACAATAATTCGTCAGAAGAATGAATTACTTGCACTGACTCCATAAACAACTCGCCTCCAACCAGGAAGCCTCACCAACAGATATTCGAGGAGCTAACTGCACTACACTATTACAAGAACCAACAGAAGCAGGAATGATTTCAAGATATGAAGTTATTTCGACAATACATTATGGTAACTACTACCCACGTACGTAGGCGTCTAAAATGTTTCATGAAAGAAAACGGCTGACATATAAACATGCAGTAAGCGTTTGTCAGAAGGAGAAGAAAACTTACGCCCTTTATTTTCCAATAACCTAGCTGCGGTGCCATGGTTGGAATTGAACAGATACACCAGAGCGCGTAAATAAATACTAGTTTCGTTTACCTCAACTTCTAAGTCACGGAAATTAAAGGGGTCCAATAAGCGTTAAGGGAAGTTGACAACATCAAAGTAAATAAGTTCTGTGCACATTAGTCATCACATGTAGGTTCCAGCTTTTAAAATTCCAATATTTTAAATCTAGAGGGTGGCATATCAAGCAAGTCAAATTGGTTCGAATTATTGTATCTAATGTCAAGACTGTTCGATACTCTATGCTCAAGTCTCTCAATATTTTCGTTTATGATGGTGCGGAACCCCATTTTTCTAAACAGACGGTCATGAAGAAGCTGAAGTTTCATTGTATGGTTTTTATACCAGTTAGTTTTGGGAGTATTAACCTCTGATGTGAGGTCTGAGTCTCTGAATACAGGTGTGGCACCGTTCTCTCATTCTGAGGTGACTTTGTGAACGAAGTGGAAGTTGTATTCTTAAACCTCATAGAGCAAGGATTACTTGATCTGATAAGCACAGGCTGTGATGTACTGTAGTGTGTAAGTGAAGTTCCCGGATTTTTATCAGAAGACTAGGCATTTTTGTCACTGGCTAATTTAATCATATGGTGAGGTGTGTACATCAGTGGTGTTTGCTAACTGTAAAAAATATCAGCATTAGACCAGTAGAATTCCAGGAGAAGTGAACAATGTTTGCTTTCTTGAGACCTTCTCAGCTTACGACAACAGTATTAGAAATCGTTCACAGGGTGGGCACCGAGTGGAGTACTTCAGAAGCTGAGGGTGTTGGCGTTCGCGGATAGTACGAAGTATACTAACGCGAGATCTTCCAGCGGTTAATAATTCCCCAAAATTATTGGCCACAGGATTCATCACTGAACACTGGATGCTGACCCTTAGTGTTTAAGTCGACTTGTTTAGCTGAAGGCTTTCGGTCAAGCATCCTCGTCATCTGGTACTCCGTCGTGTCACGTGCGTGCATGATCACTAGCCAGCTTAGCTTCCGCTTCACTACACGATTTGGTCCGAAATATATCTCGTAGTTAGGACAATCAAATAATGTCTTTTACCTTGCCTTTGTTACACGAGAAACGAATACTATGGTAGTTGTTGGTATGCGATCTTGCATTAGTGTACTCCGTACAATTCGCGAACGTCAATACCGTCAGCCTCTAAAATCTAATATCCGCAACTTCCATAGCATTCGTTTAGCGTAGACCAAAGGAAAAGCAAAACACAGAAAAACTCAATGTAGTTGAAGATTTAACGATCAATTCATGGCTGTTTGCTCAAATCCAAATCCTCCATCATTTTTGCGGGAGTCATCAATCCAGCAGTTATCGTTTCATCGTTCGCTGTTCGTTGGAAGACAGAAAAACCATCAGAGGTATTATCGTGATTTATTGTTATAACATTTATTCTTAGGCTTGTGTGTATTAACCTTATTGTTGGCTACGTATTTGTACAAGAATGAAGGATTCTCGAGTTGCCAGTCAGTGTTCTGGTTTTCGCGTTAGTCATTACCAATTGCTTCAGAAAGTCTTCGAGGGACAGCGTGATGTCCAGCGGAGTAAGAGCTGGACACCGACAGTTACTGAGAGAAACTGATCGTCCGAATTAGGAATTATATTTCAGGACCAAATCGTAGTGCGAGGTCGCTTGTTTAACTAGCTAGAGATCATGCACGAATGAACGAACGTCACACGACGGAGCACCAATTGGCTCTGATACGTGGCCGGAAGCCTTCAGCCAAACAAATCCATTAAAACACTAAAGGTCAGCATCCAGTGTTCAGTGATGAATGCTGTGGCCCTAAATTCTGGGGAATTACCTAACGCGTATGGGTACGTTCCTGCAAAAACAGGAATAAATATACTATATTATATTACCGCTACTAGCTTGCAAGGCTACTAGCTTTCTAGTCTTCTAGCCGCTCCCAAGCCCGGGTAAAGAGGGAGGGTTGGGGCGTGGTGCTAGCAACTCCAACCCTGTAAAACAACCAAATCGCTACAGAAACTTCAACGAATAAATATATTAAAAATTCTAAAAACATAAGCAATAGCCTTACTTTTCGCTGGAATCGGGGAAGTGAAATGACGCAGGCTGGTGAAAGCCTTCGGGAAGCCAGTCAGCCGATGTGCCTTCTTTCGATGAAAGCAAAAGTAAGGATGGGTACCTGGAATGTTCGCACAATGTACGAAACTGGAAAGGCTGCCCAGATAGCCGCTGAAATGAGAAGGTACAGAATAGAAGTGTTGGGAATCTGCGAAAGCAGATGGAACGGAACTGGAAGGTGCCAACTACCTACTGGAGAGACAGTAATCTTTTCCGGCCACCCAGAGGACAACCATGAGCACACCGAGGGAGTGGCCATCATGATGTCACCAACAGCAACCAAAGCTCTCATGCAGTGGGAACCAATCTCCTCCAGGATAATGACAGCCAGGTTCAACTCAAAAGGAAGGAAAGTTACAGTCATTCAATGTTATGCGCCTACAAACGTCTCAGAACAAGAGAAGAAGGAGGCGTTCTACAGACAACTACAAGCAATAATGGACAACGTCCCAAATGGCGATATCAAAATCCTGATGGGCGACATGAATGCGAAGCTGGGAGGAGACAACACAGGAAGAGAACTCACCATGGGTCGTGAGGCCCTCGGCGAAATGAACGACAATGGTGAACTCTTCTCAGACTTCTGCGCCTTCAATGATTTGGTGATTGGTGGTAGTGTGTTCAAACACAAGGATATACACAAGACGACATGGATTTCACCAGATGGAAACACCAAAAACCAAATAGACTTCATCTCAATTTCAAGAAAGTGGAGACGGAGCCTACTGGACACAAGGTCAAGGAGAGGAGCAGATGTGGGTTCAGACCACTATCTAGTAGAAGGGACTTTCAAGGTGAAACTAAAAGCCTCGAGGATAGCTGGGGATAGGCCACAATGCAAGTTCAACACTCAATTACTGAAGGACACAACCACAAAAGACACCTTCACTGCAACTGTCAGAGCAAAGCAGGAAACACTACGCGACATCACTGAAGAATCATGCGTGGAAGAACATTGGAAGTCTCTGAAGGCGATTCTCAACGAAACGTGTTCAACGGTTCTAGGAAGAAAGAAGAGACAAGACAAGGAATGGCTCTCAACGGACACTTGGAAATTAATAGAAGAGAGGAGAATGGTGAAAGAGAAAATGATTCAATGCAAGGACGGACAGGAGAAGGAGACGCTGAGCTCAACTTACAAAGCATTGGACAAAGAAGTGAAGAAGAGTGCTAGGAAGGACAAAAGACGATTCTACGACAACCTGGCCACTGAAGCTGAGAAGGCAGCAGGCAAAAGGGACCTGAGGACACTATATCAGATAACCAAATCTCTATCCGGGAAGAGACCAACACAAGCGAAACCTATAAAAGACAGCCAAGGGAAGCCCATTACCAAGGAAGAAAAACAGATTAAACAATGGGCGGATCACTTCAAAGGACTCTTGAACCGATCACCACCTGCAACCCGTCCAGAAATACCAACAACAGCGCACACACAACTGCAAGTTGACACCAATCCTCCAACGAGAGCTGAAGTCTTGAATGCAATCAAACTTCTGAAAGCTGGAAAAGCAGCCGGACCAGATGGAATACCCCCTGAAGCACTGAAAGCAGACCCAGAGACGACAGCAGACATGCTGACTCCATTATTGCAAAAGGTCTGGAAGGAGGGAAAGGTGCCTACTGACTGGAGGAAAGGTTACCTCGTGAAACTACCAAAGAAGGGCGACTTACGCCTCACTCTGCAAGAACTGGCGAGGAATCATGCTCCTGTCGACGCCAAGTAAAATCCTGAGTCGCATCATCCTGGAGAGATTAAAGGACGCACTGGAGACAGAACTCCGACCAGAACAAGCTGGATTCAGGAAAGGCAAATCATGTACTGACCAAATTGCAACTCTACGCATCATCATCACAGAACAAAGCATGGAATGGCAATCAAACCTCTACCTCAACTTTATAGACTTTGAGAAGGCCTTCGACGACAGCGTTGACCGTGAAGTAATTTGGAAATTACTCGAGTACTATGGCGTACCCCAAATATTCATCAACCTTATTCAACAGCTGTACGACAACGGCACATGTCAAGTGATCCACAACGGAAAACTCAGCAAGGCGTTTGGAGTAAACACAGGAGTCAGACAAGGGTGCTTATTATCACCAATGATATTCCTAATTGTGGTGGACTGACTGGATTATGCGTCAGACAGTGGGAAACGAGAAGACAGGAATATCCTGGACCGACGTGAAGAACCTAGAAGACCTGGATTTCGCGCGTGGATGATTTATGTTTGATGTCACACACAATCGAAGACTTACAAGCGAAAACCGACAAACTGGTCGAAGAAGCAGCAGTGAAGACAGGACTCCAAGTGAACATAGACAAGACGGAGGTTATGAAAATAACAAACCAACCAACCAAAAACAACAGCAGCAACATACAGCGCCAATCACCATCAACGGGAGGGATTTGAAAGAAGTTACTTCATTCGCTCACCTATCTAGGGAGCATTGTCTCAACTACAGGAAGTCGGAACGGACGAGGATGTCAAATCGAGCGGGAATCAGGAAGGCGCGAAACACATCAACATCATCGATCTGAAACCAATCTGGAAATCTTCGTCACTCAGCATCAACAACAAAATTCGGTAGGATTTTCAATACAAACAACGTCAAGTCAGTCAGTTCTTCTATACGGATGAGAAACTTGGCGGGCGGGCGGGTCACAAAGAATATTTCCAACAGGCCATTGCAGACCTCTATTAACAACTGTCTTCTCTGGATCTATACTGAAGATCAGATGGCCGGGCCGGAAAGTATCACCAACGAGGAATTATGGGAACAAACAAAACAAAACGAGAACCAATCGCCAACCAGCAAATATACAGGAGAAAGTGGAAATGGATCGGTCAATCAGTGAAGAGACCGCTGGGTGACATCGCGCGTCAATCCCTCTAGTGGAACCCGCAAGGGAAGCGGCGAGTGGGTCGTCAGTGCAAGGGTGACATGGAGGAGATCGTGTGAAGAGGAGTTGAAAGAGTATGGACTAACGTGGATGCAGGTGAAAAGTACAGCAGAAGGAAGACAGAAGCAAATGGAGACGTTTAGTTGAAGCCCCATGTTCCACTAGGAACCCAAGGGAGCAATAATAATAATATCTGAGAATAAGTAGGTTT